GTAGTAGCAAATATGTATGTAGGGCTAAGCATCGAAGGTTGAGAGATTGGCAAAAAAACAAGATATTATTTGCAAAGTACATACTTTGCCAAATATATTGCGTGTTTGGGCAACGATACGAGACGCCTATACATATGAACAGACCCATTGCTACTCTGTGGTGGAAGTAAAACAGGTGGGGTGAACCAGAATGTGTCAGTTAGGGGCGAAACATGTCACATTATTTTGTTTGTCAACATTATGATAATTTTTGAAATTCCCTTACCAAATTCCGTCAAAAATAAAATTTCAATGCATTTAACATTTGACCTCCTCAACAGGGTTTTAGGGTGATCATGAGTCAAAATAATGATTATTTTTGAGAACCCGGCCCAAAATACCCAAAATTCCACATTTTCTTATGAAAAGGGGTGCATTCATAGGACTTTGATATCGTATTGTGGCGTTTGGAGTGGAGATATCGAAAAAAATTATTTGGGAAATATGTTTGTAAAATTGTGTTTTACCATTTGGAACATCATTTGACATGGGTCATAAGGGAACGGAGTGCACCCATGATACTTTGGCCTCGGATATCAGCGTTGGGAGTTGAGATATTGAAAAAAATTATTTGGCAAATGTGTTTCTAAAAATGTTTTCTAAATCCTGTCCAAGTTCGAAATTTTTGTGTAACCGTGACATGTTTCGCCCCTAACTGACACATTCTGGTTCACCCCACCTGTTTTACTTCCACCACAGAGTAGCAATGGGTCTGTACCAAGGAAGATGAGATATACTAGGGGACACGGAACGACCCATGCAATGTATTTTCTCGTACCATATGGGAGAACCCAGCAGCCAATCAGAGGAGTCCGTCGAGATTCGACCCCTCCTTGAGAGGTGGGGCTTCAGAAACACATCACATATCTCCCAAATAGCTGTGTTGGAGTTTTCAGCATGAACAAAATGTTGAAGTAATACTTCACAATGTTCGGCAGATACATGCCGTGTTTCTGAAGCCCCACCTCTTAAGGAGGGTCCGAATCTCGACGAATTCCTCTGATTGGTTCGCCGGTCTCTCAATGCAATTCACCACCCTTACGGGTATGATTCTTCCTTATGTATAGCTTTTCCCTGGGTCTGTACATATGTAGTAAAGCAGTTCCCTCATGGAATGTCTTTGCCATGGACACGTATGTATGTACATATATAAATACATACGTACGAAGTGGAATTCCGAAAGTTATGTACATATCTATGTATGCAAATTTTCGTCATTTTTCGGCGCGGCGGCGCGGCGTCGCAATGTTGAAGGTATAGGAAATTCGATTTATCGGTGGCGACGGGGCCTAAAATTGTGCCGGCGTTTGGCGGCGCGGCGGCGTTGACCTCTGCGTTGCTTAAATGCACAAACGAGGCATGGCCGGTACATATCACGACGTGACGAGATACAGAACACGACACTAATTTTGCTATGATGAATGTTCATATGTACTTACATATGTACATAAGGCTTATATTATAAGCCGCACTAATTATAGTGTTCGTGAAAACAAATCAATCTTTGTGCAAAATTCTGTAGAAATTGTATGCACAATTTATGCATGTATGTATGTATGTATCTCTATGCTAACAAGGAACATGGACAGTTTATTTATGTATTCCATGGAATTACGACTCATTGGGGAATGGAGCACCAAGTTGCGGGGATGGAAGTGCGGATAACAAGTTTTTTTACCGTGGGCGTGGTGACTGCTGGCTTCTGCGCAGTTATCTTTCGATATTTTGATTTTGTGATTGATAATCATTTATGTAAACAATGAATATTCTGCATTACTCTTGCCAAAAAACTTACCTTATGGTTAGCATCTTTTCTGTACATAATTATGTAGATATGTACATATGTACATATACCTACGCTGCCCGTTTTTAATCATGGCAATGAAAAAGAGCGGTCTCGGGTTCATACATAACCAGGCTGTGTGTAAACTTTGGCTTGAGTAAGATCTCAATGTTATACATAATAAATAATAATAGTCGAAAAGAAAAATCTAACATCAATTTTAGTTAGACTCGTGTCGCAAGAGTATCATGTCTCCCCTCTTGTGTACATTGTCACATTTTGTCTACATACACATTCTAGTCTCGGACCGTATTAAATATATTTCAAAAATTTCATAATTCTTTCAGCGCTTCAAATATATTCAAACTTGGATGTTATATAAAATGACGGAGTAAATATTTAATACTTATGTATCAAGACAATTTTATTTAGTTTTGAAACTTATAAATTTAAAAAAAGGTTTATCAGTGCTTAATTGGAAGTATATTTATGTATGTATGTACATACATACAATGCATTGCAGAAAATTAAGAAATAAACTACACCTTTATTCACCAATATTCCCCAGAGGAGAAGGCATGCATTTAATAAAATTATAAATAAATTATAAATAAATTTATAAATTCTCATATACATATATTTGTACTCGAATTTTCTACTCTGACTCACCCGAACATATATTTTTTCAACAAGAAAGATATTGCGTAACTAGGGAAATGGTGACGTACATAATTTGTCATGGTTATAACTTGTTATAAGCTTTTGAAATATTTGTTGATCTTTGTCATCATGATGCTAAATTCAATAAAATCTCGAAATCTAGTCGTACATCTAATTTAGTAAATTGTGTCTGACAGTGTATATATTTTCATAATTGAGTGTACCCAATTACAGACGGGGCATGGGTGAACTAAACCCCACACTTACCATAAATTATTAGCGATGCAAATGACATGATTCTTTGTTCCATGCTTATTCCGTCCATTGTATAACCCACAAGTGAATTTATTGACGTATTTATGTACAAATGTATTTGTTGATTCGGTAATGAATTCCGCCTACAATTAAATTAATGACTTCCTTCAATTTGTCATTGTTTCGGGGAAAATTGGCGACTTGATTTTTGTAGGCGTACAGTTTTACCCGCTCTGCTAACAAGTTGTCCCGCAAATTCTTCCTCCATTTGTGGACGTTTATCTACATATTCCCATTGAATTTGGTAAAATGTCTTCCTCTCAATAAAAAAAACTTCTATTACGGAGGTTGAGCAGGAGTACGTGATTGTAAAGAAATTACTATACCTTAAAATGACAGTACAATTCTGGCCAAAATGGGTATTAAATAGTATCTGTGGGTTTGTCTAAAATTCTGACTAATACTTGAATTTCCCGCTGGGTTTACGGTCACAAAGTACAGTCACGTACTCCTGCTCAACCTCCCTGCGATTTCATGGTGTCTGACACTAACTTACTTACCTAATTTTGTGTAGAATATTAGGATGCAGCTCGCATTGGTTATGACTATTTTGCCGATCTTCCTCCTGACGTTCTACTCGGACGCTCGGCGCTTCTTTCACATCGAGACTGGGAAATGTCTCGATGCCGAAGAGTCCGTTAAGGAAAAGCGCAACGTGACCTTGACCACGTGTAATGTCACCAACCCGTACCAACAATGGGACTGGGTCCCCAGTCCATACTTCCATGCTGGCTGGTTCCCCAACGGCACGATTCAAAGCAAAGCTACAAAACTGTGTATGGCTGGCTATCTTGGGGGAATTACTTCTTTCTTGATCATGGAGCCATGTGAGAATCGTCCCCGCCAAAGGTGGGAGCCTTCAGGTTGGAACACCAAAAACGGAGGAAAGAAAGATCTCGTTTTCAACTCTTACATCCAGAAATGCCTGGGAGTACATTCTGGCAAATATGCCAACACGGTGGATTGTAGCCGGGATATTGAAACCAATTTAAAGTGGAGGGAGTAGGAGTATAATTTCAACAAATTATTACCTTGGATAATAAATGTATCATTACAAATTTTTACACTGTCATAAAATTCCTGGCTTATCTTGTTAAATTTCATCTCGGCCATTTTAATCATGAATTTTACTCGTACATGTTGTGGATTATTTAACTGTTTAAAATCCTTAACAAATTTTATTTTCATTTAAAATTACGCACTTTAGATATCTATTAGTCCTTAACCAGTACACAGGTATCTATGTATGTACGTCTATTCAATAGACACGTCCAAAATATTGTTTGGAGTCGGTTTTAATAATTAACGGTCATCGCAGAAAATATTAAGAAATTTCCGTTTCAATGTGGCACCTGAACTTACTTAAGCACTCTCAACTTACTTCCTACGACTTGGAAAATATTATATGTATGTACACTCTAAATAAAGTGGTAATAGATGAAGTCATATCTAGCGTAAAACTGGTAATAGGCAAAATTATTACCACGTGGTAATACATATTTACCGTTTGGTAACCATTGACTACAACCAGAGTGTAATTTATTACCACCCAGTAAAACGTTGGCCATCACGCGGTAACGAGCTTGTCTGTTAATAGTTTTACTCTATATATGACTTCATCTATTACCACTTTATTTTGAGTGTGAAACGTCATTTTAACCCTTTCTTCCACTGAGGATGAGACGTAACAGATGAGTCCTGTCAAGCTTATTGCTTGCATAGTAAACACTATTTAGAAGACAGGTTGAAACGAGGTATGTAAATAGATGTACATCCCGATGCGCAGAGCGTATTCGGATAGCATACCGGATTTTGCCGGCTGCCGATGTTCGAATAGAGTGCGGATCGCATGCGACGAATTCGCATTGTAAGCTATCCGAAATCGTACAGCCGCATTCGGTTACACGAGTTCGGGTAGCATGCGATTTCGGTCCCTTGGATAGCATTCGGCTGCACGTATTCGGATAGCATACAATGCGAATTCGTCGCATGCGATCCGCACTCTATTCGAACATCGGCAGCCGGCAAAATCCGGTATGCTATCCGAATGCGATATCTGCGTATCGGGATACATACATGCAGAAAGGGATGTACATACATACCCCTTTATACACTGTTGGGATATGAATACATATGTATGTATCTGCATGAATGTGTACGTATACGAACATATGTACATACATACATACCTACATATTTTCACATGTGGAGTGTTCTGGGCTGCCGGTTTTTCTAATTAAGTGCTACAATAGGATTCCAAGAATTTTCAAATATTTATAAATAATTACACCTGTAAACTTCAACCCCTGTGGGAAGTTGGTATTTAATATAAACGACCAAGTTCCATACTTACTTGTTACTAAATAAGTAACCATATAAACAAAGCAATAATTGTTAATTTTGGTTTATTTGGTGATAAAATTCTTTCGGTGTTAACCTACTTAAAGTCAATTTTTATCAAACGAGAAAGGAATTTATGAACCATTTTTCCACTTTTCGATTAACCTGTGAGGCTTACAAAATCTACCTGTGTTAATACCCACACGAAAAACGAGTAACTTTTTCGTTCATTCTTAAGATTAGTCTCCATAGCAGTTTAGTAATAATTAAAAAATCCTAAATTCCGTGAAATATTTAAGTCAAATTTTATACAGTGCTACACGTACATATTTAACTATTTAAGTAATAATTTATATGTTTGTCTTGACGAGTGACGCTGTGCAGGATCGAAAGATTCCGGAAACCACGTAACCATGGATTTCAAATTAGAGAAGAAATGTTCCAATCGGTTAAAAACATTTAAAACTAAACTCCCCTTGAACGCGCATCTTGTACATGAACCCGACGCGAAGGTAAAATGCAAGGTGACAATTTTCATTTATAACAAGCCAACAAATTTTGCAATTATACTTATATGTGTGTATATGGGATAAATAGAATATTTTGATAACTGTGCTCCGTTTAGATTGGCGGGGAAATTTCGAAAAACCCCACCGCCTCGTCTCTCCACATGAGACAACTTCACATCGCGCGGGAACGACAAACGAATTTGCCATAAGGAATTTTCCACCGCAAAGACTTTAAGGAGACATCTTGACACCGTCCACGGCACGATGGGAGAACGACCCCGTTGGCCATGTACATTTCCAGGCTGTGGAAAAATTTACTTAAGTAAATGGAATCTCTCCGCCCACGTGACAAAGGACCATTCCCAAAACGCGGCCCGATTTCCTTGCACACTTTGCGAGAAGGAATTTAAAACCAGGTACAACCTTGAGAGACACATTTCCACTCACACGACCGAGAAAACGTACAAGTGTGCCACGTGTGGGAGGAGTTTCGCACAAATGGATACCTTAAAACTTCACGAGGTATTTATAAAAAAATTGATGTAGGCAAAACTGCAGGAAAAATTATGAACTTATTTATGTAGCTTGAATGAACAGATGTCCCATCTTGACAAGGATGCCCGGCCGGTGTTACGCTGTCACCTTTGCCCCGCGAATTTCTACAGTCGACCCGGGTTATATTTGCATATTAAGGCTACCCATGAAAATCGGAGGAATTATTCGTGCACATTTTGTGCCAAGAAATTCGCCGTGTCATTCAGTTTGAAATGTCACGTGGATGCGAGACACCCTGAGAATAAGGAGATAATTAATTTCTGTGACCAATGCGAGTACAAAAGTCACTCGAAATACAATTTATACAAGCATAAGAGTCCACCATATTGCGAATCGACCCCAATGTTACTTCTGCAAAAAATCTTTTTCCAGCTTTCTGGATTTGGTCAACCACTGCAGTCGACTGCACACGCGCGAGAAGTCAAAATAGAGAAATGTGTCTTCATGGTCATTCTCGCATCGATTAAAACTTATGCATTTTTTGGTGTTTGAATGCACGTTATTATGAAATACTGAAATAGGTACATGAATGCAACGTAATATGTATTTAAGATAGCTATATACAAACAGTTTGCGAAATTTTCGCCTTCCAAGGATTTTGTTATGATAGCTTAAAATTTTCGTGATTTTGTGTACACAAAGAATCTGTAATAATATTAGGGTGGCCCCGTGGCAGTTTTCGAGATACGAACAAAAATATGTGGATTTTTTGAAAATTCTGAGAAATTAAATTTTTTATGTACAAGGTGAAGTTTTTAGTTGGTTCTTTCTCGATAAATAACCCAAACATATTGTTGCACGCATGCTATAAACTCAATTTTGTAATTCCCATTTCCGTAATATATAACAATTCTATATTACGGAACTTATCTACTTACTAAAGTATATAACAATTATCCGTAATATGTGTAACAATTTTTTTACATCCCACATGCAATTTTCCTTTTTTGCTTCGCTCCCCGTCTGGAAATTCTCCACACAGACGTTGCCACTCATAATACTGTATCTGGGCTACTACCATACCTAGCAAACTGCCAAATTCTTCCCAATGTGTGAGCTAAATCGAGCAATTTTAAAGCGTATAATTATTCATGCTCACCACTGTATGCTGCCCGAACTTACAGAATCATGGCCATGAAAACAAGAGGTAACAACTCCTCGAAATACTGACATGTGTATGCGAATAAACAACTTTAAGAAATTACTTTACGACATGATGCATCAAACCATGCAACTCTAAATCAATTTTGTGTTTCAATTTATTTTGGTATATAAATTTAATAAATTTTGAAATGAATGACAACTTGCGAAAGGATTTATTTCAACATTAAATCATTTTTAAATATTTAAATTGTCTACAATTATTGAATTTGTAGGGATCTTACGATTACCATTTAAGGTCAATCCTTGCGCTTTTAAGGGTGAATATGTAGACATAAGCTTCGCTACGTTATTAATTCCAAACGACAGAATTGCTTAAAAACCAGATATAATAACGCACATGTTTGGAGTCTAGTTTTTGTAAAATCTGTTTTAAAATTAATTTTTTAAAATCTACTTATTTGAAGTGAGCCGCTTTAAAGGCCGATTGTTGGCGGACTTTCCACCATGCCCCAGGGATACGTCGTAATTCCATAATCTTCATAACAGCACTGGACCCACTCTTCTTGTAAAAAGTCTCCATGCACTTTGCACCTATTGAGACCCTTGTAACCCCCCTCGTCACACATGAATCCCAACTTTTCTCCGCATTCTTTGGTCGCCTTGGATGCCTCATCAGTTTCTCCGCGACACTGCATCCATTTCAAATTCTTCTCCGTCTCCTCGTCTTTCCCGCCATAGCAGCATAGCCGATATTTGTAATTCTTGTCTTGATCCTTGTCCGTCTTACAGCGAATCATCGGGTTCACATTGCCCCCATAGGATTCACAATAGAGACCTTGTTCAGTTCCGCATTTGTTGGAAAGGCCGCGCATATAGGCGCCCGTCGCGCGGGGTACGATGCACATTCCCCAATCCGTTGTAGAGTCGGATTTTGTATAAGCATACGCTCCTGTGACGATGACGAGGAGGTGGAGCAAATTCACTGGAAAGAGAACAATTATTTATTTATGTAGGGATTAATTTCTAAATTTTGACAAAAATTTAGAAAATATTGGTTTTAAGTGGAAACGTATTTACTTGTGTTGAAATTTATTTTGAGACTTGTGGAGGAAACGGGAAACCGGAGGTGCGACAACGACTTGGTGTAGACAATTTAATTTTTAATAATTTAAATTTTTTAAATTAGTCTCCGAGTGATGAAAGGTTTGGCTGAGTGAGGATTGATAATGGTTTAAATTGTGTGACGCTTTTATACAATGCACAAGAACAAAGCCATTGTTTTAAATATGTACATATGTATTTAATGTAGATGTGTGTCAACTACAATAATTATATGGACACATTTGTACAGAAATACAGACGAATCCAAATTTAAACACCGGACGAATTAATATTTTATGTATCCTTCTTCCGCTTATGGCAATATTTTGGCACAACAGGAAATGCGTGAGTCTTGTAAGTATACATATTAGAAAGAAATATGATTTAGCGGGTAGAAAGATGACGATTAATTTACTTAACGGATCAAACCTTCAAATGGATAATTTAATTTATGTATGTAAAATATGTATGTCTAAAATAGTGTGATTACTGAAGTAAATTTGACTCACCTGAATGGTCCATTGGTATATATTTCCGTGTAAAACTCATTTTTGGTTTTCCATGCCATGGTGGCAAACTTTCCTGATGAAGCTGCATTATCGACCATCTTCAGACCTTCATAATTTTTTAAAAGATTTTCAAAATTGTTGGATTAAAATGATGACAAATTTGCGTTTTACTTTTGTGCATTTGCATCGTTCACTTATCCATGTTCACAATTTAGTACGTATTGCCAGACAAATTTCTTCAACGACTCATGTATAATCCTTGATAAAATAATACTCCATTTATGTATTTACATAAATATGTGTAGATTTTCGATGATCTTTTGGACCCTTGCTACGCCCATGTTGCATCCACGAAACCATCACAACGTTCCCATGTCCTTTAAGGGGCAACCATTTCAATTTTCCTCCGCGTAATGAAATGCCCCCTTAATCCATTCACACAATAAAGCTAAAGAACAAAATTCAAAAGAAATGACGAACAAGCAAAAAACTGTTACCAAATAACTGCCAAGTTTTTGTTGTTCAAATCCAGTGAAAGATTTCTCATCTCGTAAAACATAAATTGGGCGAAGCAGGATAGAATCCTTTCTTAGATATGTATGAATGTGTTTCAATTTTTACTATTTTTATTATTGATATGTATAGACATACATATTTGTAATCTTTCACAATTTTTGTATGAGATTATGTATGTAAATAGGTGGTTTACGTATTTTCTGGGCAGTTTTTTGTGACAAAAATTATTACATAACATCAGGATTGCAAACTTCCCGTCCAAAATACTTTATTGACCGTCCAAAATAATTTTTCCCACTGGGAAATGGGAAAAAGTGGGAAAAATGAGAAATGGGAAAAAGTGGGAAAAATGAGAAATGGAAAAATTGGAAAAACTAGCGCCACCTAGCGCTATTCACATAAGAACTAACAAATTTCCCAATTTTTCCCATTTCCCACTGATTTTAGTGGGTGGTAAAATTGAATTTTTCCCATTTTTTCACACTGTCCTGGAAAAAATGGTTTATACAACTTGCTACCCTGCATAACATAATGAGTAATGACATACATAAAAACATGCATGTGTATGTGGTTGAAGTTGATGGTTGATTTTGTTTCCAAATGAAGATTTACATAAAAAGTACAAACAAATTCTCATCCATAATAACCTACGTTTGACTTTGGACAGAATTAAAAAATAATAATTGTATACATACATAAAATGTTGTGTGGGGGGGGGATAACCAGCTTTTTTTGTGAATGCAGTCACGACAGGATTCCTTTCATACATAGATCTTCTTACCAGATAATGATGGCAACATTTCAGCCAGGTAGGTTTCTGTTAAAGTAAAAAGTTGCATAAAGATTAATAAATTTGAGAAGATGGTCACATGCTTATGAAAGCGGGGAAAATACAACCGAACAATATATATTTCAGGACTAATAACAGATTTAAGGGGGTATTTTCCTCATAGTATAATTCGACGTGAAGCCACCTACATACGCTCCATCTGAGTAATGTTAAAATTTCAAAATTTCAAATTGATTGCACGCCGCTGAAACTGTAGGAAATTCAATTTATCCTTAGTTTGAAGTAAAGTATCGATAATTCATCCCCTCAGAAAGTTAGGGCCTCTTTTCCTGATTTTAGTTTTTGGAAAATTTCAAAAATAAGTACATAGTGGGTGGCAAAAATTAACAATATCAGGTGTTTACTTTGCTATTTTTGAAATTTTCCAAAAACTACAATCAGGAAAACATGCCCTACCTTTGTGAGGGGATGAATTATCGATATATATGTAAATATTATAAAGAGTGAAAAAGTGAGAAAATATTTTCACTAAGATGCGAAAGAAGTTAAGGAGTGAAAATTGGTGAGCTCCCGCACGGTGAAATCATGCAATCCTTCACACTTTTTTTCCTTCATAACTTATTTAAATTAGCTCATTCACCCAAACATCCGAATATCTAGAGACTTATTCTTGACTACAAACATATTAAAATTGGTCCGGTCAAAATCTGAGGTGACCCACTGACACCTTCGCATTTCAAGTTTATTTTATTCGCAATAGAATCTTTTCCAGAAGAGGTTTTCCTTTTGGACGGAGTTTACATATGTACATACATACATACGTACCTAACGAGACGGAGAAGGAAGGATTTGCAAAATCGCTAGGTACGTTTTTGGCAAAACTTACAATATTTCTCTTCTTATTTGCATCCTTCTGCTTTAGACCTTGCCCGGGCAGATGACGGATGTCAATGGAGTTACTGCGCCGGAACAACCATTTCCGGTCAAACGACCTGCGACGAGTACGGTCTCCGCTACTCGGGTCGCATCGATGGCCGCGATTGTGCCGTGTTCAAGGAGAAAGTGGAATGTTGCAGTTACGAGGGGAGAAAAAGTAAGGAAAACTAATTTGAATGAAATGAAAATTTAAATGGAAATTTTGTTAAAAATATGTAAATATGTTCCCATCATTTTGTTCCAGCCGATCCTGGCTACGCGATAAAAATATCCGAATGTGAATGGAGTTATTGTGCCGGGGCGACGATTGGGGGACAAACCACGTGCGATGAGTATGGGAAAAGGTACACGGGCAGCTATAGTGGGGCGGATTGTGCATTTAGTAAAAGTCAAGTTCAGTGCTGCAAGTATGAAAAGGTTTTGAGTAAGTGGTTTAATTTGTAATTTATTTACATATTTGCTCAATTCGGGAAAAACTTTTTAGCAGGTTGTGATTTTAGTTTGGTATTATGAAAAAAACAGTTAAATGTAATAATTCGATGCATAGCTACACACATTTGTACCCGGTAATACAAAAACGCGGTGCTTCCGCTTTTTCGTACCTTCACGAAATAAGGTTTCCCCAAATTTTTATAAGTTTTGCATTTTAGTGATCCTCCATGGTGACCGTATCACTCCTAATAACAAGCTTAATCTTGGTTAAAAAACGCAAATGCATTTTTTAAATGTGCAGAAAATTTAAGAACTTTTTTTCTATTCAACATGCTAATTGCGATTGATAATTAAGAAAATTCAAAAAAATTTAAATCTTACCTGTAAGCCAAAGTAAAACAGGTTTTGGGGGTTGATTTGAACATCGTAATTTAGCACCTGTGACGATAAACCATGAAACCAAAATCAGGAGTAAATAGTTTTCCTAATATTTAAAATTAGAAACGATTTCAGAATTACATTTTTAATCGCGCATACATATGTATGAAGTCTGATGATTTCTTTGAAGTTTGCATCGGATTTCACACAGTGAAATTATTTTTTTAGCGAATACATACATGCACAAAAAGTAAATAGATAAGTGAAATTACATTTTATATTATATTTTTTTAGCAAATGACTGCAAACGGACTTACACTTGCTACGGGATGAATTATGGAGCGGACTGGGCATGCGGTAATGACTACGGAAGCGGTTATCACGCCGCGTTGGATAACGATGGCAAAGAAGCCTGCTCCTCAAGTTTTACGTGGAGTTATAAATGCTGCAAACCATAAATACACAATTTA